AGAGATACAAGCTGCAGGGCAAAAACCTGGCAGCTCCCATCTGACCCCACAATCCCCTACTGGTGACAGCTCCAAGCTCCATGGCAAATTAGGCCTTCTCATATTACAATTGGAGAAGACAGATTCCATTAGCAGTATCTGAAATTGAGTGGAGAGCTGCACTGTTATCAGACTTGACTCATAAGCACTGCTATTAATCAGAGCTATGATAGCATTTATATATTTCAAGCTATCTGCTGCCGCTGTGATATTCTGCTACAAAGGGTTGATGGGACTTAGGAAAGTGAACAATAGAGCTTTCTGGGAAAAGCAGAGTAAATCAAGAAAGTCTATGACTTCCGCACATTCTGAAGGGATTGCGGTTTACATAAATTTTCTCCCAATTGGAGATTGAGCTCTTCCTCATCTTACACATGGGATTTAGTTGTCACTCAATGGTAACAGCTGTGAAAAGGTGAAGCGGCCCACCGCTCAGAATATTGCCTTCGCTTTTAAAGCAATTAACCCATGAACAGGAGGCTACCTGGTGATATCAAAGGGATTAGGCCAGGCAGTGCATTATTAACATTTCCTTGAACTAATTCTAACTCTGACTAGCTGTCAGAAAGACTCTACAGTCTTAAAAGAGTTTTTGCCCTGCTTTTTTCCCTTCAAAATGAAGTGCTGCTATTTGAGTCTAATATGTCCCTCTACTTATAAAAAAATGCAAATGAATCAAGCTCTTAATATGCTTAACTAGTCTGAGTCAATGCAATTTTAATACAAGTACGAGAGAAATATATGATCAATTAACCAGGGATCAAGACAGATATTCTCCTGAATGGAAATTAATGCTCCAGTACTTTCCATTCTTCTTCAACTACAAAAACTTGGTGACTATTTGTTACTTATGCGTAGTTACTTCAGAAATTAGAAAGAGCTTCATGTTATTCTCTATGGCAATAATCTAAAGTACTCTTTGAGCTGGAAAATCCAAATGTCCCTTAAGCAGGAGATTCTCATTCTCTAAGGTATGGCATTTTAATTTTCTATTCTTTATTGAATGGAATCTTAACGGAAGCTATAAGAATAGCAGATGGTGCTCAGAATCAAGTACTCGCTTTCCAAAATTATAATCAAATTAATTTTTAGCAACACAATGTTTAGGAATACATAATTTATAAAAATGACAAAATCCCATGCATAAAATATGGGCACTAAATAATCTGCCAGAACATATTTAAGTACTACTGAAATTGATCGCAAGTTCTTTGTATTAAATAGAAATAGTTTCAATATACCTTTAATTATTGTTAATATTCATATATTCTAAGAAGCCTGCTTGACATTAAGAAATCTGATTTCTAAATACACTATGTTAACGATATTAGGGTTTTTACGAAAGTTTTCTAAGACACTGCCTTCTAGAAAACTGCCTATTTAATGGTTAGTAACTTTTTGTTTTACTTTCTTTAAAATAAGTATTGAATTTTAATTATAAAAACTAAAAGAGTTTTACTTTCAATTCACGTGAGTGTTCAAGAAACACTGATGAATGGATTTTTTTATAGTTCCCATTGGTCATTAATAGTTTGAAAAAGAAATGCTGACTCTCAAGGCTGTTGGGAATATATTCCCTGTCCTGTAACTATCAAAATAAATGATGTAAGATATGTTTTCATTTGAAACCATGAGCAAGTTAAATCTTCCCTGCAATAAAGCATTTGTATACAATGCTATCAATGCACTTTCTTCTATTTTAATGATCAGCACATATTAAATGTAGATGTTTGATGAGAGTGATTTTAGTACTCCTCCTTATTTTACTATATTGGACCTAATTTGATGTTTGCTAGAAAATAACTTTGAAATTCAAGTATTAAGTTAAATGATGTTCATATTTGTGATTTATATTACCTATAACTTCTTATTTTATATTAATAGGGTTTGGGAATTGCAAATAGAAAATAAGACACTTTAAACATCAGATAATCAAACTTAAAAGTTGTTTACTTCAAAGGTCTTAAAAGGGAAAATCTCAGTTCCTTAAGTCACTAACTTTATTAGATAACCTTAAAAACACAGATATGTACACAAATTAAATAAGAATTATTTCATACAAATGAAATGTATTAGATTAAACTCCTAACATAATGCATGCCTTAAAATGCCCCTGAAAGGGACAATATATAAATCAGAAACTGCCACAATCTTACTATTTTTAATTCAATAAATGACAGTGACACATACAGCTTTCAGTGTGCTGTTTTACTCATATACTTTCTACACTAGAGCAAAGCAAGTATAAATGAGTTCTTGCCAACCATTAGGAAAGATTGACAAAAAATGCAGTGTTAATGACATCTTACGGCTTTTAAAAGCAAGAGAAAGATGCAAGAAAAGCAAAAATTACATAGTAATGGGAAACAACGAATAAATTGTTCTTTCAATCTAAGTCATGTTTACTGAAAAAAAGGGAGCCTTTTACATCAACACATTTAAACAGAAATTTGCTTTTGAAATACAATCTTTGTTTAAAAGGTACAGAAGGTCTTTATGTCCACCCCAAGAGCTAAATATAGTGAATGCTATGTGAACAATTACCTGAAAAAAACCTAAACCTGTTAAAAGAATTAATTTACTGCACACCAGTCAGCACTAATCCCACATGTACAGTAATGTTCTCTTAAGTGATGGGAGGGGGAAGAAAGAATAAAACTGTTTCCTGGATCAAAACCCTTCAATATTCAACAACAAAATGGAATGATGATTTAGTCTATAAATGAATAAAGTAGTGAAATGTCTCCTAAACAAATTCTGATAAAGGAGTCAACCTGTAAAGGAATATATTTACTGTATGCTAGGACTGGAAAAAAGCCATCACTGTAATGGCTGTACAAAAACTGTGTCCTGCTGTTGGGTTTATATTCACAGAAGAAAGGTTTTAGAGGTTAAGTTCAGGTCATACAACAAATGAAATTGTAACAAGCCAGCTGACACTGTATAATGTCTTCTTCCACTCAATCAATAGGCTACTGTTAGTCCTATTACCATAGAGATGGCTTCTCCTTTCTGAAGGGTGTCTATTGTTTGACAAAACAGATTTGCCACTTGAACTAGGTTGTTCCCAAAGGACATGTACCTTGTCAGTTATTTGTATTCAAAATAATGAAGTATTTTCATATTAAAATGTATGTGAGAGATAATATTGTTAGATCCCTTTTCGGAAAGATAGTAACTTTTCCAAAGTACTGCCTTACTAAAACCACTCAAATGCCTGGTTTAGTAATATTAAAGTTGTGATTTCAAACACACATTAGCAAGTATAAAAATTTATCATTAATGCTGCATATTAAAAGAAAAGGGTCACAGGCTAGTGTGCTTATCTAAAAGTCATATAATCAAGCATAAGCATTAATAAAAGCCATTTTTAATTGTGGACAACTCAAAGGAAAATTATAGTCCAAAGCTATGCAGTATTTGCAAAGGTTTTTATGTATGATTTTTACAGTATTCTCATGTGGAATGCCATAAACAATATGTTGACAAACAGAAAATTTTTGGAGATAAATCACTTTACTTGCCTAAGAGCATTTATATAGCTGTATAACATTTAAATAGATGTATGTTACATAAAAGATCCTCTAAAACAAAGATGAACTCTTAAAATAAAAACTAGTTTTCTTTAAATGTCTGTCTTAAAATATCTTTATGAAAATTAATAACTCATACATTTGATATACAACAGATGAATCCCAATTTATACCTACATATTTTTTTAAAAAAGATGATCAGCTTTTCTCTCTATGGAAATACTGACAGATTCTGAATTGCAAAAGACTCAGAAGAAATAATTCTAATAAAATTAATTCTGGTAATTTAGAAAAATAAAGTATTCATAACACTAATGAATCAGAGATATTATTTTTAAAATTTCAAACTTAAAGATTTGGCTATCACTGAAAAAAATGTAACACTAAATAGAAACAAATTAAATAATAAGCATTTAATAAATCATCAATAATTAAAATATTTAAATCTGAAAGCTTTTTACAAATAGATTTAAAAGTAAACATTGAGACTCATAACTGTTAACTTTTACCTTTCTATAAATAACCAAAAAAGAATTTAGAAAGAATTTAGCTAAAGGGCAGTGTTATGACCATTATATTATAAAATATTAGTCTCCAAAAATTATATTTGAAATTATGTCTACTCAAATTATACTGTGTTTACATACAAAATGATTTGATTTTATTTTTAAAAACTAGAAAAGTTTTTGAAGAAGTGCTTTAATTTGGTTTTTCACATTTTAGGAAGTATAATTTATCTTTTTGCTATTATCCTCTTGGGCATAGATTAGACTAAATTAGGAGTAAAGAAGACAGAAACATCAAAGACAAATAAGTTAACCAATATCCTAAACTAATTACAACTTTTTTAAAGCAAGAGTAGCTTACAAACTAAGAAAGCTTTCCATCAGTAACTAAGTGTGGTCTAGTTTGCCTACCTTCCCTGCAGCTATATTGGAACAAAGTGAACTTAACTAAAACCACATCCCAAACATAATTTTCTTAGTTAACAACCTCATTTCAAAAAGCATACATGTTCATATTTAGAATATAATATATCTAGATTAGATCTGGTGTGAAAGGCAGCTGCCCATCAGCAATGCTGTGAGTAATTAAATGGTATTTACCATTTATCAAAAGATGAACTTCATATTGTTGAATTAAACTGGCCTATCTGCATCTTCACAAAATGACAAACCTCATTAGTTCTGCCTAACCAGAGAACTGTGATAATGAACCAGTGACACCTTCACCCCATTGTATAAAGCAGAACCAGCCATGTAATCATGTGAGGGGCCAAATGCATATGAAATTACTGTAAATGAAGAAAGTGAAGTCACGTGAGTTAGGGAAACCACTCAAGCAACAAAAGATTTTTTAAATGTATGTAGTTGGCCATAAGAAATCCACATCTCCAAATACTAAAACTTATTAACTAATCAACTTTACCTGAAAACGGTGAAAAAAAGTAATGATGCAGCTACTGCTCCAAATAAGCCACAGAGAAGATTGACTCGGTAGGCAACTGAACCAAAAGGAAAGAGTGTAATTGCTAGTTTAGCCACCAGTGTGAACAAAGGATAGCCAGGAGGATGGGCAACCTATGGAAAAATAGCAACAGTTAGAAGACTTTCATCTACGAAAAGAGTCACACCGACTTTAATTGAAAAGTATAGCCCTTTCTCAGGCAAGTAGAAAGATTAAGTGCCAATGACTAAATGTTTAAATAGTGGTTTCCTATTGTAATCCTCTTGTGCCAATACAAATAAATATTTTCTTTAGTGGATTTGGCAGTGTCTATCACATGGTGTGTCACCTCGAAAAAGGGTGACATATTTCATTGTCAGTTCTCAAGCAGTTTGTTCTCTAGGTTCACAGTACATTAGGGTCATTTAAAAGGCTCTTGAAAAAAAGCAGGTTCTGAAATATCGTATTGGTTAGAAAGTTGAAAGACCACACTGCTATGGGATTACCACCATGCTGACAGTCGTAAGGTCTTGCCTAAAGGGATCATGCACCATAATAAAGTTTATTAAATAATAAACTTATTAAAACTGTTAACCCGATTTATTTTATTCTCCACAGCTTATACAAAATTTGGGGTAATAATAAGCCAGCCACTGTATATATAGTAAAGGCTTTGCTTTATAATTTAGTTTAATTGGATTTAAAACTTAAAGTAAATTGTCACGTACTGTACTTATAAGTTACTAAAAACTAGGGTTTGAAAATAAATTAATCTACTTTACTCCATGCTTAATTAAACTTTCTTAATTCCTAAAACTGTTAATGAGAGCATTGATTAAACAATAAAACTAATACTTACTCCAAGCTCATGTGCGGCTGTGATCAGTTCCCCTGTGAAAAAATAATGTAAAACCAATAATTACTATTAGAGAATGACACTCCTCCAAAGTTTTCAAAATCCAAATGCTTGCATTGGGGTTTTGCATTAATTTGACTGGATAAAACTGTAAATCTGTAGAGATTTAACAGCATGAAATAGTCAAAGAATATTTTCTCTGTTAGGTCTTATTGAACAAACTATGTTTGATAGTTTTCAATAACTGGTCAGTGGAAATACAGGTAAATTTCCATTAAAAAAATGTTTATTTTCCCTCTTGAAAGTCATATTTACTTGAAAATACACAAATACTTTTAGAGAGCATTAGTATAATGTGCTGTATCGTCTCTCAAGAATTTAGCACAATAGTCTACAAAGATACAATTTATGTCAAATGTGCAAAGGTCTGAAGTCTGATAATTTATAAAATGTGCCATATAACCTTAATACTGGCATTTGCATACATTTAGATATTTTAAAACAATTTCCACCTAGGTTCTTTTGATAGGTTCTGCTATAATACATTTTTTTTCCAATCAGTAAATTATTATATGCTTTATAGTTCCTCATTGTTAGCATTATTTCTAGAATTATGATGCAGTAATTCAGTGCTTATTTGTTGTTAGTTTAAGTATCCAGAGCATAAGGACTATTTCTGACTCATCTCTATACACTGTAGTATATATTAATGTAAGAAATCGGTCAATATTGATGATTTGCGATTAGTATTACATGATAGGAAAAGTACTAATGTCTGTTTTTTGTACTTCAGTAGGTACCAATACTCTGCTTTTAATTTCTACTGCCCCAGGTACAATTAGACTTTACTATCTCTGGCCTGGACTTCAGCAAGACTTGACCAACCCACTTTATCTGCATACTGAAATTGCTTAGTATGGCTTACTATACTTATTAAGACAAATAAGCTGGATTATATCTCCAGTATAAAATTTCTCAATGACTAGTCTCTACTTACTGAATTAAGTTCAGATTCCTCAGCAAGACATTCAACTCTAGGTTGCAAGGTCCCTTTGCCAGGCTTATCCATCAATCCAGGCTCATCTCAGTGAAATCTGAATACCCAGTGTTCCTCTGGAGTGGTCTTCTTTGGCACCTCTTAGCACTCATTTTCTCACCATGGAATATTTCCCCAGCATTCTCTCCTAAATCCTTCAAGGCCTAGTTCATTCAATTGCCACCTCCTCAGTGACACCTTTCCTTACACAACTCTCTCCAGCCTCCCCCATTAGAAATAATCACTTCTTTCTCCTTACAGAGCTTGCTTGAGTCTGTTTAGCACTTTAGATTGCCTTATATTCTGGCTAGTTATTTTCATTTCTCTCTCCCACTAAGTTTAAAAACATTATCTTAGCCATTTCATGATCCTGCCAAGACATCCCCATCTCCTCCTCCTCTGGCCACACAATCTAACTCAAGCCCTGAACATAGAACTTGATCAAAAGACATACCACATTGTCATACTTGCTACTCAAGACACCTACCTCATTCTTGGGTAAATGACTGCAAAATAGAAGTCCTTTAAGGGTTCCAAAGACATCTACTGCCCACTTAAGTCAATTACCTGAGGACTTTTTTGTTTTGTTTTGCACTGGGGGTTGATCCCAGGGATGCTTTACCACTGACCTAATCCCTACTTTAGGACATTAAAAAAATCTCTGGAGATACTCATGAGTAGAAATTAAGGTACTTTTTGAATCCCAAATATTTCTTTTTAAATAAATTATTTATGGTCTAAAAATATTCAGGATAATTTTTCCTTTTGTAACTACTCTCAAGTATAGTTTTCTCCTTAACAGGTTAGCTCTTACGTCTGCTGTTCCAAACTCTTTTGATCATTTTTTTTTTCTTGTTGTTCTTATATCTGTGTGACAAAGTACGAGTTCAAAATTTTGCAATCATTATTCATTCTCTTCCATTTATTTTTTTGTACTGGGGATTCAATCCACAGGGCATTTTACCACTGAGCTACATCCCCAGTCCTTTTATTTATTTGTTTTTTATTTTTTAGACTTTTAGATTAGGACTAAGCTGCCAAGGGTACCTTCAAACTTGTGATCCTCCTACTCCTGCTTCAGGAGGATATGCCACAGAACCCAGCTGTCCTGACCCTTTAAGCTGGTGTTTCTTCAAAGTTAAGTCCTACTTACATTGGAACTACATGATCATTGTTTTTGATGGAAGATTTCTTGATCTTACTCAAAAACTTGGGTCCCTTTAGGACCAAACTTGATCAAAAGACATACTACACTGTCATACTTGCTACTCAAGACACCTTTGGAACCCAAGTTTTCCAGGCAACAATGGGACCCACAGTTTGTTATCTAGGAAGCAAACTGGTGCAAGCTCAGAGTTGTCTACAGATGCTTAATGTTTATAAAACCCAGTTCCTTTCATATTTCTTTTTTCCTATTTCTTAAATGTTAATTATACTGTTATAATTTAACAAAGCCACACAATGCCATGGGTTTATGCAGTATAACTTAAGACTTATTGGGAAGAAGAATACATGCATTATTTTGTTTGAGATGTGTTCTGTTTATTGATAAGAAAATTATTTCGTAAATATTCAAGTAGAACAGTACACTCAACACACAAACAAAATGATCAAAGATATGATTAAACAAAGTTTCCATACTGTTATATAGACGAAAAACAGTTTACTTATTCCCCAAAATAAACATAAAACTATTAGAAGCAACCACTATTGAGTATCAAATTAAGCAAATGAGAACACCTAAAAAAGTTTGGGGAATATATACCTTTATTCTTTTGAGGAAAAATACTTCATTAATAAAAACAAGATCGCAGCCATAGGTTTTTTTTTTTTTCTTTCTTTTTCAGTACTGAAGATTGAATCTAGAGCCTTGTGCAGAGTAGGCAAGCACTCTATCACTAAGCTACATCTCCAGCTCTTATTTATGATTTAAAAATTTTGAGAGGATCTCAATAAGTTGCCAGGATGACCCTGAACTTGTGATCATCCTTCTCAGCTTCCAGAGTAGCTGGGATTACAGGTATGAGTAAACAACCATAGATTTTAAACAGGCTTTAAATATTATTACATCTGTGATGGTGGATGTAACAAAGTATCTCATAAAATTCTTTGACAAAGTACAGGTTACCAGTGCCTGTTCTAAAGGCCATCTACTTGGGTTTTTTCCCTGACAGCACTGACTTACTGTGACTTTGGACATAGCTTAGCCTTGGTTTTCTCATCTACAAGAGGAAGGTAATAATAGTACCTACCTCAGAGTACCTGGGAGGGCTAAAACATCAGTCCATAAAAAGCATTTGGTATAGTTAGTGCTGGCATAGTTAGCGCTCACTAAATGTTCTTATTCATCCTATCCCATACTAAGGCTCAGACAACCATAAGTAGCTGTTTTAAAAACAGGTAATAAAACTATCTAATCTTTGAATAGTGCACTCCAATGTTAAAACTCACATCCACAAAGCTACTCCCACTATTTAATATAAATCTTGGAAACCTCCATTCCCTCGTACACTAATGAACCACTGAATAGGACCTGAAAGAAATTGGAAAGGTAATGAATAGAAAAACAGAATGTTGGGGAACTTCAATGTGGTAGGCAGCCTTGAAGACAGCTCCCAATAATCCCCAACTCCTGGAATTCTCACTTGTGTAATCCTCTCCCCCTTGAATGTGGGCTGGATTTACTGAGTCCCTCGAATAAAACAGGGCAATGGCATAACACTTCCAGGATTAGGTTACAAAATGACAGGTGTCAGACAGAGGTGCCCTATCTCTTTCTTTTGACATGTCAGCTATTTTATAGAGAGAACCGAATAGCTTGGAACTAGGTTGAGTTTAGAAGCAGATTTTCCTCAAATGGAGCCTCCAGTGGACTGTGGCCCCAGACCACACCATGGCTGCAACCTTGTCCTACATAGTGCACCTGGCTAAACTGCACCTATCTTCTGAATCTACCCCAATCGGGAGATAATAAACGTCTGCTGCTTCTAGCCACTAAATTTGGGGTAATATGTCATCCAATAAAAGATAAGTAGTACACCATTTCTTGAGGATAGAGATTTACTGCCTAAAGTTACAGCACTGTTCTGAGTCAATTACTGCCAGTTATAAGGCATTACTTGGATGATCCACTTAATTTGGTAGTAAAACAGAAACAAAACCGAGACTTTGTTTCTAGTCTCAAATACAGAACAAGAATGAATGTGAAAGGGCCCAGGAGTCGTGCTTTTCCTTTTATTAGAAGCTGCTTAAAGCCACATCTGATCCCACTTTTTTAAAGGGTTCTCCAAATATTCTGCACGATTCTTTGTCAATACTCTGGTTTCAACTAAAATATCACCTCCTCAGAAGACTCTCCTGACGAGCTATTCTGAGACTCTCTCTCTCAGTCACGTTTCCCTCTTATGTCTCCAGGATTTGTAACTTGTCTCTACGCACGATAGAATTCTCTCAGGGAATCCATTCGCCCTTACTGTTATTTCCTTTTGTCTGAAACACGAGGGCTCGTTAAGTAACATAAGCGGACTAAAGGGGAATGGTAAGTAAAGTCAGGGTCGGAAAAAACGATCTGGGGAAGTGGGAAGGTCGGTGAACCCCCTCTCGGGAAACCCACAGGAGCCCTTTCTCTAAAGCCCAGGAACTAACGAAACCAGAGTCACTGGCATGGAAGAACTGGTTCCGAAGCATGAACCCCGCGCTGCAAACCAGCGGGTGCATGGGAGGCCCGAGCCCACTGGACTGAACCAGGAGCGGCGGCCGCGGCTTCCCGCAGTGGGACCAGGGGAGAGGGCGGGAGGGGCGGCCTGAGAGTACTTTACCCGAGTCTCCCCCCGGCACCGAGGCGGGCAGCGTGAGGGTGAACACTGAGGCTACAGCGGCGAATACCGTGACGCCGCCGCCGAGGCCCCCGGAGCGCCGCAGCCCTGCTCCGGCTGCCCGCCCCCCACCCCTGCCGTCGCCATGGAGACCCATGGATTCGGACGGACAGAGGACGCGGCTGGGCCACAGACTCCGCGCGGAGGCCACAGTCCCCGCGGAGAGGCGAGCGCAGCCCGCGCTGCAGCTTCCGGGTCGAACCTCAGCGGCCGGGCGCACCTTTCCCGCCCGGTGGGGGCGGAAAACCGGCCAGGCATGCGAGAGCCAGGTCTGGGAACTTTCTAGTCACCATCACGAGTGGGCACGTACATCCTTATCTTGTGCTCTAAAGTGACCAATCACGGTGGGGAGCATCTCTGAGGAAAGCAAGCCTGTACCGTTCCTGTGGCAATTGCCCCCCCCTGCCATACTGACTTGGTCGGTTCTGACAGAGACAGAAGCGGAGTTGAAAACCGCAAGCAGGGAAGGGCTGCTTCTGCCACCTGTGGTGTGGGGTGGAACTGCCAACACCGTATGGGGGAGCTAGGAAGTGGAGCCTTCCCCATTTTAGACCTGAAATGACTGTCAAGAACTTAATTGCAGCCCGTGAAAGTACCTGAAGCTGATGACCCAACTAAGCCAGACTGCTGTCTCAGGGACATAATAGATGTTGTGAGTTTTTTTGTTTTGTTTTGTCATATATATATATATATATATATATATATATATATATATATATATATATATATATATATATTGTAGTTGGATACAATACTTTTATTTTATTTATTTTTATGTGGTGCTGAGGATCGAACCCAGCGCCTAGCGAGCGCTCTACCACTGAGCCGTAACCCCAGCCCCTAATAGATGTTCTTTTAAACCAATAAATATGGGGTAATTTGTTAATCGACAGTAGAGAACTAAGATAGGCTGTCTTCTATTTCTTTTCCAAAAGCGCATGCAAGTAAATAATTCTGAGTGAACCAAGCATGTATTTCTTTCTTTCCCTTTTTGTCCATTTCATGTTTTGCTTTTGAGCTTTATAAAATGATAAACTTTTATTTCAAAAGAGAATAATTCTTTGCCCATATTTGGGAGGTAGAAATCAGAGCTGGGAATAGAAATTTGGGAGTTATGCATATATGGATGATATGACTAAATTGGCAAAGGCATAGTGTATGTAACAAGAACAAGGTTGAAGTTTAATGTTAGCCGGTGTCTTTAGTTAGGGAATGGCAGAAGAGACAAGAGTGGAGGAGAGTAAGGTGACATAAGAAGCTAAGAAAGAAGTAATGTCAATGACGTTTATGTAGTCGGGATTTGACAGAGGTAAAGGATGATGAAGAAGGGCACATCTAGATTTCATGGGGTTTGAATTTAAACAATTTGGAGAATTCCTTAAACAAACAAATACAAAATGGCAGTCACAAATTTAAGTTCAAGGCCTATTCTTTTGGAGCTGTGAAACCTGTTTCTTTCGATTCCTGGTTAATTTTTTGGTTTTTGAAAATGAAGAAATGTAGTTCTCTGTAGCTGACTCCAAATCTCATTAAACCCATGTTGTTCCTATTCTATTTATTTTTATGTAGTGCTGAGGATCAAACCCAGTGCCTCATATGTGTGAGGCAAGCACTCTACCACTGAGCCAGGACCCCAGCCCTGATCTTTCCTGTTTATAAAACATTTTTTTCTCTGGGCTCCAGTGACAGCACGCTGCTTTGGGTTTTCCTTTACCACTGGCCTGTCTTCCCTGGTGCTGCTTCCATCAGAAATCTAAATGATGGACTGTAGCAGGGCTATTTTAGACTTTCCTTTCTTTCTGCCTTCTTTCCCAAGGATTTTATTGAAGATTAAATAGTAACATCAAAGTAATATTTCTCAAAACTATACTTCTTCACTGGGCGTGGTGGCACATGCCTATAATCCCAGTGACTCAGGAGGCTGAATCAGGAGGATGGAAAGTTTGAGGCCATTCTAGCAACTTAGCAAGGCCCTAAGCAACTAAGAGAGTCCCTATCTCAAAAAAATAAAAAGGGCTAGGGATGTGACTCAGTGCCCTGGATCCAATCCCTTGTACTAAATAAATAAATAAGGGGCTAGGCACGTATCTCAGCGGTAAAGCACCCCTGGGTTCAATCCTAGTATCAAAAAAAAAAAAAAGACACACACACACACACACAAATAATAAATAAATAAATAAAACTACTCCTCAATTTCTTCTTTATGCTACAAAATACCCACGTGGACCCTGACTTCTCTATGTTTAAATACTTTTTAAACCTGGTGAATTTTGTCTTTTTTCCACTGTCTATAAAATAGTGCCTGACACAAAGTAGGTGCTTGAATATTTATATAATAAATGAAAGAATGAACAATGAGAGGCCACTTATGTATCCATCACAGAGTTCATTAGGCTACTAGTAACAGACCCTGCTACAGTGGCTCAAACATCTAAACATTTATTCTCTCATGAAAAAGATGTTAGAAGCCTGGAGGAATTCAGTCTGATTCTGGTTTGGCAATTTTCTGTTGCCCTAAGGACAAAACTCAGGTCTATATATCTTTGTACACCATTCCACTCAGTTTATACCCTCAAGGTTAAGTCCTGACTTACTGACCTAAGATAGCTGCTAATGCTCCAGACATTACATCTCTACTTGAGGAGAAAAGAGAAATGGAAAGAGCTGGGCATGTTCCATCTTTTTAAATTCAGAGTGTTCTAGAAGCTCCATTCTATAATTCTACTACATTTTCATTGGTCACAGTTGAATAACAGGGCACTCCTAGAGGCAAAAGATTCTGAAAAATTAACTTTTCAGCTGGACAACTTGTCCAGGGCTCTATTACAAAGGAAAAAGAGGAGAATGGATATTGGGAAGCAACTAGCAGGTGTAGTTGGATTTGGTGACCAGGAGGTGTTTCAACCCTGAAAGTTCAAGAGGTTCAGTTTCAGTAGAGTAGTAAATATAGAAACCTGATACCAGTGGGTTAAAGGTAGGAAATGAAAGAAGTAGAAAAGAAATATATTTGCAAAAAGCCTGACAGTGAAGGGAAAGAGTAGTATGGAAATCCACGGGGATTGAAGTTCCAAATAGGTTAGTTTCATTTTTCGTTTTTATTTTTGTAATTCCAATAAGTATTTGGAAAGAGACAGTGATGACGTAAAGATGTTCAGGACATTAGGGGGGATAGGACCAAGGAGGACAAAAGAGAAAGAAAGGTAGAAGGTAGAAAATATTAAAGGGAGAGAGAGTGGACTTGACTCTGGGCAGACGAATGAGATATGAAAGTATTATTTACTTTTTGTTTGTGCACTACTTCATTCCACAGTGATTTAGATTTCCACTATAATACAAGCTGTACGGTAGAGAAATATGGAAACAGAACTAGTAGAAAATATGTGACATTTATGACAGATTGTCTTATGTGATTGTGGGACTGGCTAAGGAAGTCTGACATTCCTGGGGAAGGTCATCAGGAAGGGCAGGCTGGAACTTTTAGACATGTTCTTCTTCATTAGAGAACCTTCAACTCTGCTCTTTAGGCCTTTCAACTGATTGAATCAGGTCTCTCCAATTATCTGCCCCTTATAATGTTAACTGACTATGGATTTTGATCATATGTACAAAATACCTTTACAGCAACACCAAGATTATGATTTGTTTGAAAAGTTAGGGATTGTTGTCAAGACAAGTTATCATATCCACTGAGTATCACAAAGGCCAGAAAACACATGCATTAGAAACAGAATATCAGGCTGAAGGAAAATAAATACAGGTTGAATTTCCCTTATCTGAAATGCTTGGGACCAGAAGTATTTCAGAATTGAGAGATTTTTGGATTTTTGAATAGTTGCATACACTTTACCAGTTGAACATCCCTAAACTGAAATTCTAAAATCCAAACTGCTCTAAAATCCAAAAGTTTTTTGTTGTTGTTTGTGGTTTGTCTTTTTTTTTTTTTTTAACTCAGGGGCACTTAACCACTAAGCTAAATCCCCAGTCCTATTTTTGTATTTTATACACACACACACACACACACACACACACACATATATATATATATATATATATATATAAGTTGTAGGTGGATACAATACCTTTATTTATTTATTTATTTATTTATGGTGCTGAGGATGGAACCCAGTGCCTTGCACATGCTAGGCAAGTGCTCTACTGCTGAGCCACAACCCCAGCCCCTATTTTTTGTATTTTATTTAAAGACAGGGTGTCACTGAGTTGTTTAGAACCTCGCTTTTTGCCGGCTAAAATCCAATTTTTTTAACCTTTATTTTATTTATTTTTTTAATGTGGTGCTGAGGATCGAACCCAGAGCGTTGCACATGCTAGGCGAGTGCTCTACCACTGAGCCACAACCCCAGCCCTAAAAATTCAAATGTTTTTAGTTTCCTATCAACACCCCAAAAGTTTTGAATTTCAGAGCACTCTAGATTTTGCATTTTTGGATTAGGAATGTTCCACCTACATAGCTCTGTAGTCCTATGATATCCCACATTTGGCTCTAGCAGTCTTGAAAATCAAACAAAAGGGATCGTTGGTATTGCCTCTCAAGTCCCCATTGAAAGACTTTACTTTCCCTGGCATTTATGAGAGGCAACTATTGAAACCCAATGGGAGGACTCCTCCTTCCTACTTGGCAGAGGCTGCCCACCAAGTCTTACTGCTACTTCCCCAGTTAAGAGGGGTAAGAGTACCTCATTACTTTGGCCCTTGTGGCTTCCACTGAAACTATTGTAGGTGAGGGCAAGGAAGGTGGCCTCCCTTTTGTTGGATGGTAAAAGTCTTGACTCTACACTAGGCCCCTCTGACCCCACCCAGCAGGGAAGGAAAAATACACCTCATTATTGCTGGGGGTAGGGGCAGAAGGCTAGAAGTAGTCTCCAATGATCCCATCAAAAGGGATCTCATTACTACACAACTCAAATGAAAGCTCTGGTTCCTTCTTCTGCCTTCTTTGACACTAACCAGGTGGACATATTGGGGCCCCTGGAGCGGATGGAAATCTAGACTTCTTGCTCCGTATTTGTCAAAGTTTTCACTTTGGTTTTGGCTGTTGTAAAGAGGTTATTTTCTAAAAGTATCTGATTTGGCCCTTTCCTGCCTGGTTCTTTAGCTAGAGAAAGCAGCCTTTTGTTGGGGGATTTTTTTTTTTTTT